CAGGTATTTGGGTTCAACATGTAAGAAGTAGAAAGTACAGGTATTTGTGTTCAACATGTAAGAAGTAGAAAGTACAGGTATTTGAGTTCAACATGTGAGAAGTAGAAAGTACAGGTATTTGTGTTCAACGTGTAAGAAGTAGAAAGTACAGGTATTTGTGTTCAACATGTAAGAAGTAGAAAGTACAGGTATTTGGTGTTCAACATGTGTAAGAAGTAGAAAGTACAGGTATTTGAGTTCAACATGTAAGAAGTAGAAAGTACAGGTATTTGTGTTCAACATGTAAGAAGTAGAAAGTACAGGTATTTGTGTTCAACATGTAAGAAGTAGAAAGTACGGTATTTGTGTTCAACATGTAAGAAGTAGAAAGTACAGGTATTTGTGTTCAACATGTAAGAAGTAGAAAGTACAGGTATTTGTGTTCAACATGTAAGAAGTAGAAAGTACAGGTTTTGGTTCAACATGTAAGAAGTAGAAAGTACAGGTATTTGTGTTCAACATGTAAGAAGTAGAAAGTACTGGTATTTGAGTTCAACATGTAAGAAGTAGAAAGTACAGGTATTTGGGTTCAGCATGTAAGAAGTAGAAAGTACAGGTATTTGTGTTCAACATGTAAGAAGTAGAAAGTACAGGTATTTGTGTTCAAACATGTAAGAAGTAGAAAGTACTGGTATTTGTGTTCAACATGTAAGAAGTAGAAAGTCAGGTATTTGGGTTCAACATGTAAGAAGTAGAAAGTACTGGTTTTCAACATGTAAGAAAGAAAGAAAGTACTGGTATTTGGGTTCAACATGTAAGAAGTAGAAAAGTACAGGTATTTGTGTTCAACATGTGAGAAGTAGAAAGTACAGGTATTTGTGTTCAACATGTAAGAAGTAGAAAGTTCATGTATTTGGGTTCAACATGTAAGAAGTAGAAAGTACTGGTATTTGTGTTCAACATGTAAGAAGTAGAAAGTACAGGTATTTGGGTTCACATGTAAGAAGTAGAAAGTACAGGTATTTGGGTTCAACTAGTAAGAAGTAGAAAGTACAGGTATTTGTGTCAAACATGTAAGAAGTAGAAAGTACAGGTATTTGAGTTTCAACATGTAAGAAGTAGAAAGTACGGTATTGTGTTCAACATGTGTAAGAAGTAGAAAGTACAGGTATTTGAGTTCAACATGTAAGAAGTAGAAAGTACAGTTATTTGTGTTCAACATTGTAGAAGTAGAAAGTACAGGTATTGTGGTTCAACATGTAAGAAGTAGAAAGTACTGGTATTTGTGTTCAACATGTGAAGAAGTAGAAAGTACAGGTATTTGGTGTTCAACATGTAAGAAGTAGAAAGACAGGTATTTGTGTTCAACATGTAAGAAGTAGAAAGTACAGGTTATTTGTGTTCAACATGTAAGAAGGTAGAAAGTCAGGTATTTGTGTTCAACAGTAAGAAGTAGAAGTACCGGTATTTGAGTTCAACATGTAAGAAGTAGAAAGTACAGGTATTTGTGTTCAACATGTAAGAAGTAGAAAGTACAGGTATTTGTGTTAACATGTAAGAAGTAAGAAAGTACAGGTATTTGGGTTCAACATGTAAGAAGTAGAAAGTACAGGTATTGTGTTCAACAGTTAAGAAGTAGAAAAGTTCAGCAGTGTATTTGGGTTCAACATGAAGAAAGTAGAAAGTACTGGTATTTGTGTTCAAAATGTAAGCAGTAGAAGTAGCCCCAAAGTAGAAAGTACTGGTATTTGGTGTTCAACATGTAAAGAAGTAGAAAGTTACAGGTATTTGTGTTCAACATGTAAGAAGTAGAAAGTACTGGTATTTGTGTTCAACATGTAGAAGTAGAAAGTACAGGTATTGTGTTCAACATGTAAGAAGTAGAAAGTATAGGTATTTGTGTGATTCAACATGTAAGAAGTAGAAAGTATCAGGTATTTGTGTTCAACATGTAAGAAGTAGAAAGTACTGGTATTTGTGTTCAACATGTAAGAAGTAGAAAGTACAGGTATTTGTGTTCAACATGTAAGTAAAGTACTAGAAAGTACTGGTATTTGTGTTCAACATGTAAGAAGTAGAAAGTACAGGTATTTGTGTTCAACATGTAAGAAGTAGAAAGTACAGGTATTTGTGTTCAACATGTAAGAAGTAGAAAGTACAGGTATTTGTGTTCAACATGTAAGAAGTAGAAAGTACAGGTATTTGCTGTTCAACATGTAAGAAGTAGAAAGTACTGGTATTTGTGTTCAACATGTAAGAAGTAGAAAGTTCAGGTATTTGGGTTCAACATGTAAGAAGTAGAAAGTACAGGTATTTGTGTTCAACATGTAAGAAGTAGAAAGTACTGGTATTTGTGTTCAAAGTGTAAGAAGTAGAAAGTACAGGTATTTGTGTTCAACATGTAAGAAGTAGAAAGTTACAGGTATTTGGTGTTCAACATGTAAGAAGTAGAAAGTACTGGTATTTGTGTTCAACATGTAAGAAGTAGAAAGTACTGGTATTTGTGTTCAACATGTAAGAAGTAGAAAGTACAGGTATTTGTGTTCAACATGTAAGAAGTAGAAAGTACAGGTATTTGAGTTCAACATGTAAGAAGTAGAAAGTACTGGTATTTGTGTTCAACATGTAAGAAGTAGAAAGTTCAGGTATTTGAGTTCAACATGTAAGAAGTAGAAAGTACAGGTATTTGAGTTCAACATGTAAGAAGTAGAAAGTACAGGTATTTGAGTTCAACATGTAAGAAGTAGAAAGTTCAGGTATTTGAGTTCAACATGTAAGAAGTAGAAAGTACAGGTATTTGTGTTCAACATGTAAGAAGTAGAAAGTACAGGTATTTGTGTTCAACATGTAAGAAGTAGAAAGTACAGGTATTTGTGTTCAACATGTAAGAAGTAGAAGTACAGGTATTGAGTTCAACATGTAAGAAGTAGAAAGTACAGGTATTTGTGTTCAACATGTAAGAAGTAGAAAGTACAGGTATTTGTGTTCAACATGTAAGAAGTCAAAGTAAAAAGTCATCAGAAAAATAAGTAGTGGAGTGAAGTACTGATACCAGAAACATGTATTAAGTACAGTAACGAAGTATTTGTACTTAGCTACTTCCCACCTCTGGGTGCCAGTCAGAAACAATTCTGACAAATAATAATCAAAAAAAGGAACACAAATAGTTAAGTCACACCATACACAAAGGCATTAAATAATCCAGCACATAAACCGCAATGAGGTACAAAACGAAACACCTTATTTCCAGTAATATTTCTTTGCAAAATAATAAAACACAGATATATAGATATATATATAGTTCAATCCAGTTGAGTAGAACACCAACATCTATTCCAGTTCATAGGATCCAAAAACAAAGGCACTCAAGGAAAGTGCTTTGATCATTGGGTTTGATCGACAGATGTGAAAAACGGAGTTTCTTTAGAGAACCACTTAATATCTTGAGTTTATCAGAGATGTCTTGGAATAACTCATTCAGTATGAAAAACTGACAAACAGTGTTGGACCAAAATGACTAGTAAGTGAATCAATGAAAAGGTTGCAACCCTCAAACATCCAGCTCAATGAGAACCACAAACACACCTCAGATTAGGTCATTGTGCCCACTTTAGATCATCATTATTGTGTTTACCAGTGCTCACACGGTTCTTAAAGATATGTCCTTAAGCGTGAGAAAAAGACAAATCAATAAAGACAAAGACGACCAATTAGTCAAGAACCGACTAAGAGATCCAATGAGAGCAATACACACATGTGAGACACACTTCAACGTAGGCTTTTTTGTTCATATTAGGTCAGAAATCTTGAGTCTACCAGTGACAGGTTTCTTAAAAAAAGACAAATTGACAAAGACAACCAATTAGTCGACTAATGAGAACAATGCACACATTTAGGTCACTCAAACACACCTTGATCAGAACATTGTGTTCATCGGTAATACATCTGGACCAGTTCCTGAGTTCAGTGCTCTTTGTTTCTTGGAAATAACACATCCAGCATAAAAAAGACAAATCTATAGAGACCAATAGGAAGTTTGTCAACTAAGAGATCCAAGGACACCGATACACACCTCATAGCAGGCCTTGTTGTTCCTATAGGTCACAAATCTTGAGTTTACCATTTCAAGTTCTCATCATTTTCTTAAAAAGTATTGCGTAAGCATGAAAACAGACAATCTACAATCCTCCAGGACCATCAAATAGACGACGAATTGACTAAGAACCAACAGAAAGTAGCGCATCGACCTGGAGATCCAGCTCGAATAACATCAGCACACACATTTGAGTCAAACAAACACATTATTTGGTTCATATTAGGTCATAAATGGTGTGTTTAGTGAAGTGTGTTTTAAATAAGTAATTAAGCATGAAAAAAGACAAATCTACGAAGACCAAGCTAACCAAGTACAACGTATTGATTACAGATCCAATGCACACCAAAACACACATTTGATTCCCACACAAACACACTTCAGATCCGGCCATTTGTTCATATTTGGTCACAAATCTTGTCTGAAATCATTAGACAAGATCAAATGACACCAATTCAGATATTTCACAAAAACACACCTCAGATCAGTTGTTCAAATAATCTCATGAAGCTCGTTCACAGAAAGAATACACAAAAAGCCAAAGTAGATCACAACACACACACACACACACACACACACACACACACACACACACACACACACACACATCTGAATAACTTGAGGTCACGTGGAGGAGCTGCAGGTGTCTCTTACCTGCCACAGGTGGAGGCGCCATGGCTCCTTAAATATATCTCTAAAGTATCAAAGGATATGGGTTGCTGACCATCTGCAGACACCAGCTCCGCGGTCTGGTGGTCTGCTTCAGGTAGAAGAAGACCACCGGGGCCATGGCGGGGTAAGGCAGGCTCTCATCCCCGCCTTCAGACGCCTCATCTCCGGCTGCAGAGATCCGGTCAGGCGCCGGTTCCTCCGTCGGTCCCCCTCTTCCTGATCCACCGGACAGGTCGTTGAGCCGGAGGAAAGTCCGGTTCAGAGAGGAGAGACCCTCCGGATTTCCCCCATCCTCAGCCATCATTCACCTCCTGCAAGCGCGAGGCGATTACACATTTATTAGATACAGTAAATACAGCTGACAGCCGCGCAATGCTTTAAGTATCTGCACAGCAACGCGCATTACAGTCAAGACAATCTGCACATTTACTCGTGATTTTTATGTTTGAATGCTGCAAATCTACTGCTGCACATTCTGTAGGAACAGGCAACAGTAGGAAGCAGTGGCGGTGGTGTTGGGGAAATATGCGCAGAAAGTAAAAAGCGATTGTTGATTTATTTATCATTTTGCGGCAGATTTTTTATTCTAAATGTGCACGAGGGGAACATTCCCTGATGCACATTTCGGAACAGGCAACAGTAGGAAACAGTGAGTGGTTATTTTTGGGGGAAAATATGCGCACACCTCCTCGAAAAACGGCTGCATACATATCATTTAAAACAATGAATATGCTCCAAAAGTTGGGGTTTTTATGAACAGAAATGCTACATATTAAGGACACATTTGCTTCTTAAGGCTGGTTTATATAATGGAGCCTCCAAAAATTCAAGGAGGGCTCGCATTCCTTTTCATCAGAAACAATGCCAACAATCCCAATTCTGCCACAATAGCATGTCACAGCGTCTCCAAACTTCATCTCCACCGACAAACCATGAAGCATGCATGCATTACGGAGTGATTTGCGCCACGTTTTGAGTAAAATAAGCGCATTAGAGCATATATTCTTTCTTTCTTTTTGTACCTGTAATGGACTCGCTAGATGTGCCCAAAGCGCGCTCAGTCATCGCATGATCAGTTTGGCTGTAAAGTCCACACCAGCCTGAAGTAAAAACCCAGTGGAGAGAGAGAGAGGAGAGGATTCTGGAGGACAGTATAGTTTCCAGGCTTTTAATAATCAACACTTCACAACCATCCCCCGGTGGGAATACAAAAAGGAAACCTCTAGATGTGTGTTTGCAGCCTCATGCGCAAAAAAAACTTCTTTAGAATCCCTTCCTTTTCCACAGATCTGATAGAGAAACCCCCAAAAATGTGAAAAAGAGTGAAATATTCCCACGTTTTCCTCCTTTAAATGTTAATATCCAGGACTTTTCGGAGCATCCACAGGCGGTTTTTCGGGTTTTTTAAAGATCCATGGAGATGCTGCACGTCCTGCCGCTCAGAAACCTTTTGGTGTTCCTCTAAATATCACACACTCCACCCCGCTCCATGGTTGCACACACACTCCTGCTCGCGCTGGTGTCTCGTGCAGACTGAGTTCGCTCGGTTCCGTCCATCAGGAGCCTCACAGCTGGATGGAGAGCCCAACTTCTCCCTCTGCGGCTCACAGCCAATCACAGCGCGCCCTCACTCGCTGCTGCCTCCTCATTGGCTGAGCGACCTGTCAGTCTAAGTGTGAGAGCGGGGAGGCGGGGGGCAAACAGCTGGAATCTTATTGTCAACCGGCAGCCAATCAGAAGCGAGGGACGACTGCGTTGCTCTGTGATTGGTGGAGAGGTTATTATAGGGAATGTTTGAGGGGAAAGTTGCCACAGGGAGCAATGTGACTTTTTAAAGTACAGTACAAGTATTTATGTTGTACTTGTACTTTAGTTTAGCTTTCTTGCTACTTTGTACTTAAACTCCACTGAGGAAAATATTGTAGTTTTTACTACATTATATTTAGAACTTTAGCTATTTATTTATACAATAACATGTTTGTCTTTTTATCTAACACATACATACTAAATACTATTAATTTCAAAATGTGATTTTCCTCACACTATCCAATTAAAATAGAATATATTGAGGCGTGTGGCGCAGTGGGTTGTGCGTTGGTGTTCGGTTCAGAGGGTCACAGGTTCAAACCCCACTGCAGTCAGCATGTCGTTGTGTCCCTGAGACTCTTCACCCCAAAGTGCTCCTGTGGGGATTGTCCACAGTATTGAGTATGTGAGTCGCTTTGGATAAAAGCGTCTAACAAGTGACATGTGATGTAATACAAAGGCTTTCAGTCATTACGAATATGGCACTAAAGTGAAAGAAAAACAGAAAATGGTTTTATATAAACACAGAAATATTTAATGTTTTATCAAGGGTTGCCAGATTTGGGAACCCCAGGCAAGAAGTGTTCTGGCATGTTTGCTGGTGGCCACTAGGGGAAGACGTTTCCCCAGGCTTTTCTGCCTCACACACACACACACACACACACACACACACACACACACACACACACACACACACACACACTCACACGCACACACACACACACACACACACACACATACCATGTATACATCACTTCAGGGGACATTACATTGACTTACATGCATTTCCTGGAGACTTATCCTAACCCTAACCATAACCAACACATGCCTAACCCTAACCCTTAACCTAACCCTAACCCTTACCCTTACCCTTAACCTTACCAAGTCTTCACCCTAAAATGAATGATTCCCCTCATGGGGACCTCCATTATGTCCCCATAAGGGAGGCGAGTCCCCACACGTGACTGTGTAAACAGATTTAGGTCCCCACAAGTATAGTAATGCTAGGCCACACACACACACACACACACACACACACACACACACACACACACACACTTTTCATTACAGTGTACTGAATGATCATTGATCCGTGAGAATGGCAAATCAATCAGAGGACCAATTTCTTTCTCAGTGAATCTGTCACGACTTATGTGCAGAGATGCATCACCTGGACTCATTGTGAAGGTGTGAAGAAGAAGAGTTTCCAAAACCCTTTATTTACATATTTAACATACAGTATGTACAAATATTTCAAATTGAGTGCTTCATTGTGGAAGAAAAGCCAATGTACTTCAAAAACTATCCAATACAAGATATTGACATGCATTCTACCTTAACTGAAGAGACAATGTCTTTGCCGCAGAAGAAGAATAAGAAGTGCACACACCTGACCTGAAATGTAAACAACAGCCTGCACACACAGTCCCTTGTTTCGACTGATTGCTTAATGATGTACTCTCCTAACAAAGTACTCGTTAACACATATTGATCCAGCTCTGCTTGTTAGGCAGAAACTCTTCTGAATACACACACTACAAAAACACAATTAAGACAAAGCTCAGCGTGAAGCTAAATCTACAAACACGGCCTTCATCAATAATAAACAACACAATCATCTATTATTCACAAAGTGGAGCAAAGCCTCGGTGATTCAACACTTCCCAAGGCGAGCTCTTATGAGCGGGCGATGAATTATGTTTGCTACAGGAGGGCCGGTTTCAGATAGGACCCCAATTTGTCAGAGAGAGTGGTCTCTCCAGGGGGGGGGGCTTTATACAGCAGCACTGTTTGTACAGACACACACACACACACACACCGACACACACACACACACACACACATACCATGTATACATCACTTCAGGGGACATTACATTGACTTACATGCATTTCCTGGAGACTTATCCTAACCTTAACCATAACCAACACATGCCTAACCCTAACCCTTACCCTAAACCTAACCCTTACCCTTAACCTTACCCTTACCCTAACCCTAACCCTAAACCTTACCCTAAACCTAACCCTTACCCTAACCCTAACCCTTACCCTTAACCTTACCCTTACCCTAAACCTTACCCTTACCCTAAACCTAACCAAGTCTTCACCCTAAAATTAATGATTCCCCTTATGGGGACCTCCAATTTGTCCCCATAAGGGCGGCGAGTCCGAACAGATTTAGGTCCCCACAAGTATAGTAATGCTAGACCACACACACACACACACACACACACACACACACACACACACACACACACGCACACACACAGAGACAGACTGATGCTAAGGAGTTAAAGAGGACGCTCATTTTCAGGTTCATATTATTTACTGACATGTCTCCATGCTTCAATGTTCAGAAAGCTCTTTATTTCTCTCATACTGCCTGTGCTGCAGCTCCTCTGTTCACCCTCTGTCTGAAACCAGAGCCCAGTCTGCTCTGATTGGTTAGCTGGCCAGCTCTGTTGTGATTGGTCAACCTCTTAGAGATGTCCCGCCCCTTAGCCTATCACGTACAATGTGTTGGAGCGCTAGCCAATAGGAGCGCGAGTGTTACAGTGATGTCAGGAAGTAAACCAATGGAGGTGCTTCAGGCGGACGGGAAGAGTGTGTTTCTAAAATCCTCGCAGTGTTTTACTAATTTGATATTCGTGAGATTTGTTTTGGTTCTGCAGAAGTAATGACACGATCATTTGACTTGTTTGTACTTGTATCGGTTGTGTTTCAGCTTGTTTGGCCTTTGCAGCCTAGAAACTACACTGTTAAGCCAAAACTACAAGAATATTTGTTTTTAAAGCTCCGTCAGAGCTTCCTCACCACTGATCACAACACATTAGCTCCGTGGTTTGAAGCCCGTTAGTGGGTAAACATGCCATTTGACAAGCTGCTTTTTCTCATGAGATATCTTACTCTTTCGACAACGGGGGAATTTTTCAACAAAGCAAACATGGACATAGAGACGAAAACAGTCCTGACAACATGTGGAAATATGTCACGCAGGTTCCTTTTAATGAATACAATCAGATCCAGTTTAATATGATCTTCGTGGTCAGGAAGTTGTTGTTCTCATGTTCTGTTTAACTTTGTGGAAATCACTCCGGACAAGAAGCCATTCCTTTACTCAGCGCCAGCAAACCTGTTCTCGTTTAAAGGCAGCTATTGATAATGTTTTGATTTGGGACATTAAAATACATGGAAGTTCAGCTTCAAAAACATGTTTATCTGTAACATATGAAGCAGTCAGAGTTAACCCTTCTCTTGCGTTTCGGGTCAAAAGTGACCGAATGACTTTTATTTTAATCATAAATATTGTGTTTTTCATCCAATTGCCTCAATAGCGTATGTTATCCTCCACACGAGGCCTCTGAACACTTGATGATCACCACTTGGGTTTATTCAACAGTGAAACACGCTTGACGTTTTCGGTCAGATTTGACCGCCATAGAAAATGAATGGGTATGAGTGTATTATGTTCATCCTGCAGATGGAAAACATCTATATATACACACAGGTTACGGGAACCTCTCCCTTTCTCGCGCTGTGTCATACCTTCTCACAGGTGCGAGCTCTGTGCCCCTCGAGAAACACAAACCTCTCCCTTTCTCGCGCTAAATGCGCCTCCCTCACTGGCTCTCAAGCAGTTATATGTGTGCCTTGCTCACATTGGACTCATTGACACAAAGAGCAGGCGAACGATTAGGAGATTTTCTGTACGAGGAGCTCTGGACACATTTTTGAACCAGATGAAGAGGAGATGGAGGAAGATGAAGAGGAGATAGAGGAAGATGAAGAGGAGATAGAGGAAGATGAAGAGGAGATAGAGGAAGATGAAGAGGAGATAGAGGAAGATGAAGAGGAGAGAGAGGAAGATGAAGAGGAGATAGAGGAAGATGAAGAGGAGAGAGAGGAAGATGAAGAGGAGAGAGAGGAAGATGAAGAGGAGAGAGAGGAAGATGAAGAGGAGAGAGAGGAAGATGAAGAGGAGAGAGAGGAAGATGAAGAGGAGAGAGAGGAAGATGAAGAGGAGATAGAGGAAGATGAAGAGGAGATAGAGGAAGATGAAGAGGAGATAGAGGAAGATGAAGAGGAGATAGAGGAAGATGTCTCAGAAATGGACGACAACATCGATCCAGACTATGAGCCTAAAACACACCAGGAAGAGGCCCCTGAGGGAGAGGCCCCTGAGATAGAGGCCCCTGAGGGAGAGGAGGGAGAGGCCCCTGAGATAGAGGCCCCTGAGATAGAGGCCCTGAGTAGAGGAGAGGCCCCTGAGGGAGAGGCCCCTGAGGGAGAGGAGGGAGAGGCCCCTGAGATAGAGGCCCCTGAGGGAGAGGAGGGAGAGGCCCCTGAGTTAGAGGCCCCTGAGATAGAGGCCCCTGAGATAGAGGCCCCGGAGGGAGAGGGAGAGGCCTGAGATAGGCCCCTGAGATAGAGGCCCCTGAGGGAGGAGGGAGAGGCCCTGAGAGAGGCCCCTGAGATAGAGGCCCCTGAGATAGAGGCCCCTGAGTTAGAGGAGGGAGAGGCCCCTGAGGGAGAGGCCCCTGAGGGAGAGGAGGGAGAGGCCCCTGAGATAGAGGCCCCTGAGGGAGAGGAGGGAGAGGCCCCTGAGTTAGAGGCCCCTGAGTTAGAGGCCCCTGAGATAGAGGCCCCTGAGATAGAGGCCCCGGAGGGAGAGGAGGGAGAGGCCCCTGAGATAGAGGCCCCTGAGGAAGAGGAGGGAGAGGCC